CCGAGCTGACGTCGTATGACGCGTGCCCAAGATCATCTTGCACTGTGGTGCCGAGCTTGGAGCTCAGCTTCGCGGTACGATCAGTACACTAGCCCCCCGAGCTCCGAAGACCGTAGGTCTTCGGAGTTAAGACCGAGCTCGCCAGGGGGAAGTGACCCCGAACAAAATAGAGCAACATGCATACATGTATAAAAGTAAAGTTCACAAGATTCAGTACATCAATTCACGCCAAAGAGAAAGGAAATCAAAATTACAAAGAAAATCTAAGCGGAGGCATTTTCACTGGAACTGTCGTTAACATCGTTGCGTGCAAAAGTCGTTTCGTATTTCAAAACGCGCTTAATGGTCATGACGATTATGCAATGATGGCTTCCTCTGTCATAAGGGGTCTCATTTAATGCGTGGTCAGGCGTGTCCCTTGGGTGACACGTGTCGTGACCGTTTTGAAATTCTGGGAGAGAGTTTTTTCTTTTCTTTCACCCGCGCCTCTTGGCCTTTTTCACTTTGCTCTTTTCCATTCTTGTGGCTTCTTGTGCACACCGTTGCTCTCGCTTTTCTGCTTGTCTTCTCTCTCCGTCTTCTCCGTTTCCGTCGCCATTTCTGGTAACCCCTTCGTTGTTAGGGTTAATTTCTGAGGGAGAGTACCAGGTGTTTCCTTTCTACAGTCTTCTTTTTCCTTCTTCCCCGACCTTCTTCGAGTCTTTCTCGTCTTTTCCATGGCTGGGGGAAGTGGTGCCGGTCATTCTGCACCTTCTCGGGGCAAGGCGCGTGGTAAGGCGGTGGCTACCGGGAAGGCCGCCGCCGAAAATGGCTTCCTCTGTCATAAGGGGTCTCATTTAATGCGTGGTCAGGCGTGTCCCTTGGGTGACACGTGTCGTGACCGTTTTGAAATTCTGGGAGAGAGTTTTTTCTTTTCTTTCACCCGCGCCTCTTGGCCTTTTTCACTTTGCTCTTTTCCATTCTTGTGGCTTCTTTTGCACACCGTTGCTCTCGCTTTTCTGCTTGTCTTCTCTCTCCGTCTTCTCCGTTTCCGTCGCCATTTCTGGTAACCCCTTCGTTGTTAGGGTTAATTTCTGAGGGAGAGTACCAGGTGTTTCCTTTCTACAGTCTTCTTTTTCCTTCTTCCCCGACCTTCTTCGAGTCTTTCTCGTCTTTTCCATGGCTGGGGGAAGTGGTGCCGGTCATTCTGCACCTTCTCGGGGCAAGGCGCGTGGTAAGGCGGTGGCTACCGGGAAGGCCGCCGCCGAAA